AAGTATCCCTCCTAATCTCGAAGAAGTAGAGACGAGATGGCAACTTCGACACTTACTAATGGTCAAATAATAATATTATTAAAGCGATGACTCACGAATTTATTAAGGACAGCAGTAGATTCAAATGAATTACTAAACAGGTAAAAGTTCCTTTTTATTAAAAGTCTCCGGACTCATAATTCATTAATTAACAATTATCTCAAGTCGGGGAGAGCAGATGGCAATATCAATAAATCTCAAGACAAGCAATTCAAACATGTGCAACTCATGCCGAGGTCGTACGACCCGATCCAACATAAATGTAAAATGTGCACTGCCGAGGGTCGAGCGGCCCGAACCATAGATGCATTTATTATCCCGCTCGCGAATCATACATGCGACGCGGTCAAATATAAATAAACACAACAATCAGTCAATCATGAATTATCAGGGAACAATTATCCAAGGAANTATTTAATTAATTTTTTTAACGGATAATCCGTTAACCCGTTAAGAACATATATATATATATATATATATATATATATAATTTTTTTTATCCATATATACATTAAATATCAAAAACCCTTCCAGTTCAGTCTTCCACTCTTCCAGTACTCTATCTCTAAGTTCTAACGCCTAATTCCTAAATAATCAGAATTATGAAAAATATGTAACATAATCCTTGTTAATTACTTTACAAAAAGCAGAAAGTTCAGAATCAAATTCAAGCAAACAAATGTTTTGGAATACTCATACAGATGAATTAGTATTACATTATAAACAAGTCCTTCTCAGGCATAATGCATAAAGGATGCAATAGCACTGAACTGGACAAGATAAGTTAGCTAATGCATTAGTTATACGATATACGTGAGGGCGTAGAGATGTCTTTTTCAGGCATGAACAATGAATATTATGGACACCTGATGAAAGGTGATGCGCCTAAATTCTTAGTCGTATACATGAACTAAGTGAGTTTTCAGTTAGTAAGGGAGCTACAGCCAGGCATGGATTAACACTCCCATATTAGTACTCCGTTTGTAGGGGCATATTTTCTAGTAATTCTGATTGAATATAGATTGAATTAGGCCGATAAACCGCCCGATAAGAGCTAAACCGATACTAATCCGTCCGATATCTTATCGGGTGGCTAGAGGATTAATACATTTAAAAGCCGATAATCGATAAGCCAAACCGTTAAGAGTAAATAACCGCCCAATCCGCCCGATAAGCAGCCCTACCATCCCCGTATAGTCAGATGCCTTCAGGATACCGGTTTCTATAGGATTAATGAAATAAAACACTACGAGTATACTTGATAATTGGGCACATTGGATGAACTTCCACCGGGAGCTGAATTACCACCGCTACCTAAACCAGCTAAAGGACATTTATAACGGTCGTGTCCTGTTTGCGAGCATATGTCACATTTACGCGCATAAACGGTATCACCAACTTCCATTTGGCTCCGTATATGCGTTATTTTTTGCGCTTGTCGATGACGCAAATAGTCCTTGTTACACACCATTTTAAATATTTCCGGCGGCCAATAATGCTCAGCACCCACTGGCTGCAACTGTCCACTATAGGTGTTTAAGTATACTGCAACACTATATTCTTTATCAACTAGCTGGTTGCTGCAAAACCTGTATGTTGAGAGCACTTCATGGCATGTGAGAACGGCATGTGGTATATGGACCATTTCCCACAAGAGCATAACTTTCTGGCTTCATTACGGTGTGTGTATTATTACCCCAGTTTTGATGGATAGCGGTGCGAACTTCAAAAATATTTTTCTCGTTGCAATACTGTAAATATGAATGCCAATGTGCTCGCCTCCTGTATTTCTCAAATCTTTTCATTGGTATTGGAATAAATTCAACACCCCTTTCCATCAATGATGATACACCTCTAGCCCTTTCAACAAACCTCTCCGCCATCTGCTTGAATGTCATCCGCACCATGGCAGTGACAAGCAATCCACGTGCAGACTTCAATAACCCGTTGAAAGACTCTGACACATTTGTAGTCAGAATTCCCCATCTTCTGCCACCATCCACATGCAAAGTCCACTTGTCAAGCTCATGTCGCAGCGACCAACGATAGGCTCTTTGGTCTTCCTGCCTGATCGATTCCATGCGCCCCCTGAATTTACACTCTTGGTGATCTGTTGCAGCCATCCATATTAAATCATGCAATCCTTGTTGGGATGTACCTTCTAGAAATTGGCCTTTAGGTGCCTTACACAGTAACGGTGGTAGGCATACGGTTCCTGCCATATAGGAAATTCTGTACAGAACTTAAAATACCGCCATGCCGATCAGATATTAGACAAATATCTGAACGTTGTCTGACAACGTGCTCCTTCAAGTGGTTCAAAAATAGCGTCCACGTCTTTTGGCTTCATTCGCAAAAATAGCAAAAGCTAGGGGAAATATACTTCCATTAGCATCTACTGCAACGGAGATCAACAACTTAATATGATACTTTCCATAGACATGAGTGTCGTCTATGGATATTACCGGCCAGCAATGCACAAAACCATCAATTGCTGGTTTAAATGCCAAAAACACATATTTGAATATATGTTGTGGTATTACCGGACTCCGCTCAAGCTTCCATTCAACAACAGTCCTGGGGTTAAAGTGTTGCAATGCGGCCATGTGCCTGGGTAGAGATACAAAGGACTTATCCCAGTTACCATAAACAATTTCAAACGCACGTTTGCGCCCGAGAAATGCCTTTCTCTTGGTAATGGTACACCCATATTCCTGGTGGACAGATGTTATACACTCTTTGATAGTGTACCTTATGGACGCTTCAATGTGTGGAATCAAGACAAGTGAAATCAAGTCAACATCCAAGTTAATATGATTCCCACTGAATGTGTCCATTTCACAATTGTGGGTGCCAATGCATTTACCCACATATTTGTTTTCTTCTTCCTCGCACGCAGCATCCAATTACAACCCGTAAACCATCTACGGCAAATAACCTTGTATACATCCGGAGATGACTCTGCTACCTTGATCTCACGACACTCTTTTACGATGTACATTTGCACCGCCCTGCTTAGGCGCGCTTTATCAAGAAAAAGCATGCCCTTTGACAACACCGTTGCTTAAGATTCATCCCATATTGTTGCCCGAATTTCGTCAATATCCGTTGTGAGGCATCCGCATCCGGCATACTTGGCAAATGATCAAGGTAGAAAATCTCCCTTGAATGAAACGACACATTGGACTCGTACACTCTTGGTCTAACACGAGGTGGAGCATGCTCCCTCGTCAAATCGGGTTCAGTCTTCTCTTCCTCCTCCTCATCACCCTCATTAGGGAAGAGTGTGTCATCTCCAGGCTCATCGGCATTGTTGTCATAATCACTATTCTCTTCCTGACTCTGCGCATCTGCCAGATCCCGATTAAATTTGTCGTCTTCGGGCAATTGAGTAAGGACAGGACCTTCAAGTTGCTCATTTTTACTGCACAACCAATAAAATAATGAGTTACTCAAATTGATCCAAACTTTACATATAGCTTTATCAATTCACTTACAAATCATAATATTTTGATATCCCATGATGGACATTATCCTGTTGATGATGACTCCCGGATGGACCACCATGATCCAACACACCAAAACTAGGCATATTCCAAGTGGGTGTTGGTTCATAACTTGTAAAATTTATATCTGACTGGTACCCCCTATGGATATATGAGTGTTAATACAAATTCAATACATAAAAATAAATATCTTAAGACAAAAAAAATTGAAGTTTACCACTCGGCTTGTGGATCGTGTAAACTAGGAGACAAATTATTTCCTCGCTCGTCATTCGCCCGTGGATATAAGTTTAGATCATGCCAAACTCTTTAACCCGGAACCTGTTCGGCTAAAAATGCTCCCAAATAACCACCTGATGATTGAGGGATATCCTACTTTGCACAACCTCATTATTGTGAACATCTTCAGCCTTGACGTACATTTCCAACAGTTTTATCACAAGAATTTCCTGGTATTCATCCGGGGTCCTCAAAAAACCTCCCAGAGTTTCATCGTCTTCGATGTTAAACCCAGCATAACAAGCAACCCCTTGCGGAGTCACAGAATACGGATATCTTCCGGTTACTTTAATATTCACCAAACGTTTGCTCACACTCATTTTTTTACATAACAACGATATCAATCTATCGTACTCCATTGTAAGTGGCAACTTAACATGACACCGTGGAGATAAACTATAGCTTACTGAGTTATTTGCCACCACAACTTCACCTCCCCTCCCCCCCCCCCCCCAATGTAGTGAAATACTAATTCTTCGTTCTTCAGACATTATGACAAAATGCAAAATAACTTAACGAAGAAATATTTCAAAAGACTTGAAAATATTTATGAATAGATTTTTACAAAATCCTTAACCTCTTTAAATAAGGAAAAAACTAGTCCCGGGGTACAATTATTAGAGGTATAGCGTCTTACCTTAAGGCGCTATACCCAGTTGAATTATTGTTATGTCAGTTAAGCGCAAAAAAATTATTGGTGGACCCACGGTATGTTAGGGCTTTATATATATAGCGACTTATATTAGGGCGCTATACCTTAATTAGGCAAACAGTCGTTAAGGTATAGCGCCTTAAGCTAGGGCTTTATATATATTATGGTTACCAGTTTTTTTCCCACACATTTTAGTTCTTTGAGTCCAAAAGAACTTCTGGACTCCTAATTGGCCTCCATTAGCTAGTCCTTCTCCTAAAATCTATATATAGGTGTTGGAAAAGACATGATTTTCCATTCTAGATGACGACAGCTAGGGTTTAAAAAGACAACTGTTTGCATTTTAAGGGGAAATCTAGGCTGTGGGAACTCGGGAATTCTTCCATTATGCGATAATTTCTATCGACCGGCAACTCGAGTTATGATTATTGCATACCGGTTTCTGCAGTAAGTCTCCTAATCTAATATTTATGGTTAAATACTTCAAAGACCAAGGGCACCTCGCAAGCTTTAAAACTTTGACAAGCTAGCAAGCAATTTTGATCACCCCAACTTGCTTTTGGCAAGCATTTTCAAATTTGTTTCTTCAGTCTGATTCTCAAATATAGAGGTCCCAACTTTTTCCTTTTGCAGTTTCCATAAGTTAGGTGCTACGAAAAGGAAGACAATACTTTATTCTGTTGCTGGGACCATTGGCTTTAGCTTATTAACAATACTCAAGACTATTGTTTTCTTGTTTTTGCTCGAGATTTGCGAGACCTTGTTTTAATATGGGTTGAAACCTGTGCAGATTGTAGCAATCAATTTGGTCAACTTAAACTGAGAACTTCTAGGTATGTGTTAGATCTGAAAAGAGATACTCGCTCCTCCCTTGTGAATCTCTTTGCTTGGACACGGAATTTAAGAAAAAATAAAGTTTTTTTTGTAATTTGTGGTCCTAAACAAATCAAATAGGAATCAAGAGTATTTGTGTGGTAAAAGTTTTTCGGTAAGAGTAGAATTAAAAATTTAAGTTATATTGTTTCCAAATTTCGAAAGAGGTCATTCTTTTTATAAGGGACTAAAAAATAAATAGGTTCAACTGGAAGAGAGGGAGTAGTATAAACTTAATAAAGAAATGAATCTATTTCCCAAAATTTGATCTACCCATGGTTACTTTCTTCTTGCTTCCTACACCAAGAATATATCTTTTACTAGTATTCCATCTTCAGAAAAGGAATCGGGGTGATTTAAAGACTCAAGATTCTTGGTATTAAACTGTCAATGGCAAAAGATCAAGCTTCCCTTTTCAGTTTTCGATCTTGTTGCTGCATTCTTGTTTTTCTCTGTGCCTTCTCGTCCATTCCTCTCCTCTACTGGTCTTACTCCTTTGGCTATGGCTATTCCTATATCCAAATGACAGTGAACAATGAAAACAAACCAATTAATCTCCTTACATTCTCAAAAGCTTGGAACCATCTTGTCTTTTCATCAAAACAACCTCAAAAATTCCTTAAAATTGCTCTGTTTGTCAAGAAGTGGCCAGATGAACAACACGCCGGAGGACTTGAACGACACGCCTTAACGCTCCATCTCGCCTTAGCCAAACGCGGACACGAGCTTCATATCTTCACAGCTTCATCATCCAACTCATCTTTGCCTTTACATACCCCAATGAGGAATCTCCGTTTTCACATCTCGAGGCCTACTGCTGCCGGATATCTTGATCAAGCTGTTATTTGGAAGCAATTTCAAGCAGAAAACGCGACAGAAAGGCCATTTGATGTGATTCATACAGAGAGTGTAGGCCTCAGGCATACTAGATCAAATAACCTGAATAATCTTGCGGTTAGCTGGCATGGAATTGCTTATGAAACTATACATTCTGATATCATACAAGAACTTCTACGAAACACTAAAGATCCAGAATCAAATACTTTGACTGAAAGAGTAAAGAAGGTTATCGAAGAGGTAAAGTTTTTCCAAAGTTATGCTCACCATGTTGCCACGAGCGATCATGCAGGAGATGTACTTAAAAGGATCTATATGATCCCAGAAGAACGCGTTCATGTCATTCTAAATGGAGTCAATGAGGAAATATTCAAGCCTGATATTTCAAAGGGCAATGAGTTTAGGTTAAACCTAGGTATTCCAAAATCAAAGTCCCTAATCTTGGGGTTAGCCGGGAGGTTGGTGAAAGATAAGGGACATCCTTTAATGTTTGAAGCCTTAAAACAAATTTTCGACGAAAACTCAACATTCAGGGACAGTGTTATTGTACTAGTTGCTGGAAATGGTCCGTGGGGTGCTCGATACAAAGACCTCGGGTTAAATAATGTGATGGTTTTAGGACCACTAGAACAGGCTCAACTAGCAGGATTCTATAATACAATAGATGTATTCATAAACCCGACATTAAGAGCTCAAGGTTTGGATCATACTTTGTTGGAAGCAATCCTAACTGGTAAGCCTTTGATAGCGACGAAACTTGCCAGTATTACGGGGTCTATTATTGTTAGTAACGAGATGGGGTATACATATGCACCTACAGTAGGGGAACTGAAGAAAGTTTTGTATGAGGTTTTGGAGGATGGAAGGGAAATTCTGAAGCAGAAAGGGAGATTTGCTAGGGATAGAGGTTTGAAGTTGTTTACTGCTACAAAAATGGCTGCAGCGTATGAAAGGCTTTTTCTTTGTATCTCAGGTTATGTAAAGCAAGCAAAAAAGCATGACAACTATTGTATTTACCAACCTCAGTTTAATTGACAGAGGGTCCTATATATATATATATATATATATATATTCTGTTTTAGTCTATATGATGTGGTCTCGAAACTGTAGAAGGTATTTTATTGGATGTTGACTATATCGAGAGTGTGGCAAATGAGCAAGGCCGTTGACTATTGTGGAATGAAAAGGTGATCAGTAATTTTGTAATTATCAAGACAAATCAATTACAAAAAGTATAACTGAAATTTCCCGTCAGCTCTAAGATGTTATGGGAATGCACAAGTGTTGCAATAATCATTGCATCTTTTTTCTCTCTAACCCTTTTAAGCTCTCCTTTTCTATTCGGATCAAAAGGCTTCATCTCTTTTCTCCCAGTTTTTCAGTTTCAGTCAAAGGCATGAAGATGCACATAAAATCTAGTGCTTCAGAAATCAGATGGTTCAATGTGGCTTTCATTTCCTTGATCATGATAAGTCTATATCCCTCATCTGCTTTTCCAATTCACAATTTTGGTTGCAGAGTGGATCTACCTCTAGTTTCAAGTCTTTTACCTCTACCTTTAAGCCTTTCATTCTCTTTTGAAATCTCCTTCTTAACCAAAGTGGTGCATTTTTGTTTTTCTTCCAAATTTTCATCTGGAGATGACATTCTTCGCCAAAAGATATTGGTGAATCAGCTAATTAAGCCTAAAATACTCTTAATAATTTTTCGATTTGGACCAATGTCGCCCATTTTCTTGTGAAAACCTCACACTAATAAAGAGTATTTTTACACCATATATANTATATATATATATAATATTGCTTGCTTTGAGCTAAACTCACATGTTTACCCTCAAGAGACCTCATACTGTTAAAGGGTATTTGTACATCTTATGTGTAGTAACAGAATCCATATCCGAAATTGCAGTTTCCAAATTTGTAGCATTGGAAAAGTATGAGCTGCCTTCGCCAGCGAATTGCCAAGGGGAATGATATGCTTCTGAATCTGAAACTAAAGACGATGAAGATGCAGCATCATCCTCATTTTGGCGTAATTTTTTTCTTTATTTCCCCTCTGAATTTTCATAATATCTTAGAGGGACTGGTACTATATGTGAAAATCATCAACAAGTTAGGACTAATTGAGCATTCTACAAATCAATCTATTGAAGCAGCCAAAAACAGAATGTCCTGTATTTTAGAATCGAATATTTACACCCCTATATAATAAAAATGCTACACAAATATACGGTGTTATATCTACTTTTCAAAAGCAAAAACTTAGCTAGAGTTTGGCCATAGACTCCAAATTTATTTTGAAAAATTTGATTTGGGTGAAGTTTGGTTTGAAGATGAAAATGTGTTTGGACATGCGATTTCAAAACATATTTTTCAACTTTATTTTGGGAAAATATGTATATAATTCCCAAGTTTTGGAAATTTGGCCCAAATTCAGCTTATTAGCTGAATTTGAAATTTCAAATATGTGATTTGAGTTTTGGCCAAAATGTGGGTCAAATTTATGGCCAAACATGGAATTTGAAAATAAATTTCAAATTAAATTTGGGAAAATGTATGGCCAAACAGGGGCTTAAACTCCGTATAGAGTGGGAATTTTACACAAATTAAGAAATGTTAATGTAACTAAGCAAGCTTAAATAAGTTGAAGCATGAAACAACAACCCAAAAAAAAAAAAAAAAGGCAAACTGAAAAAAAAGAAGAAGAGAAATTCCTGTATATTAAATTATACACTATGTTATTTCTAAAATTACCAATAGCTAATTACAAGCTCAAAATGCAAAAGGTTGACACTAGTAATTGATACTATATTGTTTTAACTAATTTATAATCATTTTCAATTCAAGAGTTCTAAAATAAAAGATACATGTTTAAAAAATAGGTTTATTCAACAAAAGGTATTGTTCTTTCTTCAACAACAGTAACTATGTCTCGGTCCCAAGCAAGTTGGGTTGGTGATATGAATCCCCATTCCTTTCATTTAGCTCAATTCATTATCATCATTACCAAAATAATAAAAGTACTAGTAGGAAAAAGAGTTTTTGATCTTTCTTACTTTCATAAAATTAAGTAAATTGGTACTTTCTATTTGCAATTATAATTTATTATTTTGTTGTTTTATTTTAAAATATATAGTTAGCTACAGATATATGTTGTATTTTATAAAGTTAAATAATTAACACCCTTGTAGATTATTATTCAAACTAATATTTGTACCGGAATTTCATTGTATATATAAGGAGATTTAGTGTAAAAGTTTTGAAATACAAAGAATGTTTCTACAACTGAATTATATAATAGGAGTGGTTGAGTGTAATTTACCCTTAAAATAAATGGGTTTGATATATGAGAATTCTCAACAAGTGAACTTCTAATAACAATAATAAATTTACTGGAAACTAGTATATTAAATTGCCGTCACATGGTCCCACATGCACACTCGTTTCGCTAATCTATGCTGTTTAATGTAGATTCCTTTCATTAATTGCCTCTCGAAATAAAGTTTAAGATACTCGCCTAGTTGACTTCTCGAAAGTATTTAGTTAAAACAAGTATCGATAACTTATTCTGATTTAACAAAGTTTGCCAAAATAATTCGTAGAAGATTAGAATTCTAATATTGCACGGGCTAAAATCGATTCACATTAAATGCTCGAACAATAGAATGACACATGGAACCGGAGACACATGGAAAGCGAATCAAGTAGAAACCAAGGCCGAAGAAAATAGCTTCAATTGACACTGGGCAGACCCCGAAGGGAACATCGTTAATATTTTTCACCAGATGACATTCAATGAAGAATATTTCTCAGCATTAAATACACAATCCGTTACAGAGAATTTTGGCATTCATAGTCTGCCGTTATATATTCATCAAAGGCTCCCATAGTTATCATTTAGAGGGTTTGACTCTAGGATCTTGTTTCCTAGGTATAGCTAAAAATAGTGGTTTCAACAGCCATTGTAGGACACGAAAATTCTGACAAACTGATACTACACATTATTCTAAGCTCAATAATACTTTATTTTCAGTCTACCGATATACTTATCGCTATCATTGGTAGCCTTCTGGAATCAAGTTGTTTGTTGTTTTATCTTGATTTCAACATTGTCTTACGTTTTATTTAATTTCTTTATCATTTTGGGAACAAATCGATTCGCTTGTCTATAAATCACGTTATAAACTCAACTGTACCGTTTTACGGGTAAACAATTTGGTCCCACCATAGGGCTTAGACAATTGCGTAATTGAGTTGATCCTTATGTCTGTTACTAATCTGTTTGATTCTTTGTTTCTTAGCATAAAAATCGTGAAAAATGACAGCTAATGATAACAACATCGTACAAAACGTCGAGGTCCAAAAAAATCCACCTCAACACAAGAATTCGATCAATAATACCCACAACAAGGAGGACGTATCCACGCCGGTTCATGGTGGGCAATATCGACGATACATACGGGAGGCAACTCCTGATGATGCTGAAGACGAGCATGTTGCGGAAACGGTGAGGATCCTAAGAGAACAACAAAAGACTATTATGGGCCATCTCTCACGGCAAGACCAGGCCATGACAGAATTGAGGCAAGCAATGTTGGATGATTCCAACAACGCGATTGGAAGGGGTCCCATTCCTCTCGGTGCTCCAGCGAATCAAACAGCCCAAAGGGTAACAACACCCTAAAGGGTGAGGTGGGCTTCGACGCGGCCGGGGGGATCGGCGGCAGATCTGGCAACAACAACAGTAATGGTCCCTTTAAAACCGAGCTCATGCAATTTATGAGGAAAATAAATGCATAAATGGACCAAATTCCGGGTGCATCGCCAGTGTTGAAGGGACCAGATTCAAAGAAGTATACCCAGTTGCCGTTCAAACCAAGCACGACAGAGAGTTAATCCCGAAGTGGTTCAAAATGCATGGTGTACCAAAATACGATGGGACTTCAGATCCTCAGGAGCACATCACCACCTATACAACGGCAGTGAAAGGAAACGACTTAGCTCCGCATGAGATCGAGTCGGTCCTGCTGAAGAAGTTCGGGGAAACCCTCATGAGGGGGCCTTGACATGGTATTCGCTTTTAGCCGAGCATTCAATAGATTTCTTTGAGATGCTAGCAGATTCAAGGCCCATGCTTGGGCCAGGAAGGTACATGCCTGAAAGGCCGATATATTCAGAATTGCGCAAGTATAGTCCGAATTGCTGTGGGTGTTCGTGGCCAGGTTTCATAATGAATGGGATGTTGCTATTGGTCGTGCCAGATGAATAGACGGCTGAGGAGTTCCCTAAAAGGTTGAACCCGACGAGCTCCGACGCTTCTAGAAAACTTAAAGAAATCCTGTTCGAATTCCAAAAAACCAAATGGGCAGATGTCCACAATCGTTATGAATCGAAGATAAGAATAGAAGACGACTAGCTCGGTTTCCCGACATCAACCAAGGGTCAGGATCGAGAAAAGAACAAGGATAAGACGAAGGACGATTTTGACGCAGATCGACGATCTACGAAGGGCAAGTTTTTGCCCTATGAAAGGGCTGAAGGATACAGCAGAGGTTTCTGGTTGGTGGACAGATTCGCTACCGATAGGAGAATTGACCGTGGCTGGAATAACAGATCATTGCAGGACAAAGAGATATCAGGTTCCCGAAATTCCACCTACCCAGATTGTACGAATATAATTTCAATGTCAGCATGGTGGAGCTGGTATTGGTGGTGAGGAACATTAAGGAAGCATAGTTCCCGACGCCGATGAGATGCGATCCCGGTCAGAGGTCTATGGTATGAATATCATGGGACTAACGGCTACCAGGACGGGGACTGCCGACATCTATGCAAGGAGGTGGCGACATTACTAAGAAACGGCCATCTCATAGAGCTCTTAAGTGATCGGGCTAAAATAACTACAGCGGCAACCTGGATAACACAAAGCCCTAGAAGATAGGAGAAGATCCTTCGCGACTAATGATCAACATGATTTTTGGGAGGAACGAGATTAATGGTGTAACCTTTTTAGCAGCAAAAAAAGACAAAGGTATCGGTGACTCATAGCAAGAGACTCCGGGAAGTCGTTGGGGAAGATATTACTTTGGAAAGGAGGTCGCCGATGGACTCCTACTACCGCACAACGACACCCTGG